AGGAAGCATCAGATGGGATATTGTTAACCAGCTTCCCTATCTTCAAAATAATGTGAATTAAGCTGGGCCAGCCTATTCTCGCCATCCTGTATGATCAGGGAGAATCTTCTCATTCATCTCTCAATTGTATTAGCTATTTAAAAAATGTTTATTTATTTTTGAGAGAGAGAGAGAGAGAGAGAATGTGTCCATGCACGTGCAGGAGGGGCAAAAAGAGAGGGAGACAGATGATCCAAAGTGGGCTTGGCACCGACAGCAGAGAGCCGGATGTGGGCTCAAACTCACTAACCTTGAGATCATGACTGAGCCGAAGTTGATTGCTTAACCAAATGAGCCACCCAGGCACCCCTGCATTAGCTATTTATTCGTGCTCTCTCACCACAACATTGTATTTATTTTTATGATATAAATTTTTTTCATGTAATTTCATGTGTTGTTTTAATGGTTTCACTCTGGTTTAATGATTTCACTGTATGACAGTTGTACAGTCTGTACCTCTCATCCCATTTCAACATTAATATTTTATCTCCTAAGGACCAAAACCAAAATTATTCTTTTTGTTATTGTTCAACATCATGGTACAAACACTTAAATATACCTCACTATTGGGGTGCCTGGGTGGCTCAGTCGGTTGAGTGTCCGACTTCAGCTCAGGTCATGATCTCATGGGTTTGTGAGTTCGAGCCCCATGTCACGCTCTGTGCTGACAGCTCAGAGCCTGGAGCCTGCTTTGGATTCTGTGTCTCCCTCTCTCTGCCCCTCCTCCACTCATGCTCTCTCTCTCTCTCTCTCTCTCTCTCTCTCTCTGTCTCAAAAAATGAATAAATATTTAAAAAAAATTTTTTTAAATGTACCTATCTTGGTCTTTCTTGTCTCTTTTAGTCCAGCATCCTCCAGTGACTCCTAAAAAGCAATTGTAGGTGTCAGATGTGTACGTCTTGGTCATTGCTAACCCTCGCACATCACAGTTCTTTAAGCATCCTCATGTAAACCATTAGATGCATGGTTCCTCACTGGAAATCTGATAAAACCTATGGGCGCCCTCTCCCCCACCACATACTCTACACACACACACGTGACTTCATTGTGGGTTTTAGGGAGCTTGTGAATTCCCATGAGGCTCAACCATGGACCGGGTCTTGGACCAAATTGGCATCAGGATGTCTTACACATTCAGTCTCTAGCTCTGTCACAGCTGTGTGACCTCAAGCAGGTCATTTCCCCTTCTGTGGCCTGAATTGGACTAGATCTCTGAAGTCCCTGTCAGCTCTAAAAATCAAAGAGCCTGTGAGGTGTTTCAAATGCAGATCACAGTTCATTGCTTTTCTCCCGATCGTTTAATTCTGCCCAATTTCCCATTTCATCCATTTCTGACATAAGACTCCCTATCTCCTTTGGCTTTGAATAATCGTTAAAAACTAGTTCTGCACTGTGTACCAAGAGAGATTTAACTGGATATCAGAATGGACATATGCTTTTTCATAGGATCTTCCCGTTTACAATGGTTTCCTCCCCTTTCTCTTTATTTCAATATTCTCCCTGTTGTTTGCATGTCAGGAGAGCTGTCACCCAACGCATTGTGCTAAATTGTCTCAAAGAGGGAACTGGGGCTGAAAAGATCTCAATGGAAAGAACAAAGATGGCTAAGCTTTCTGGGCAGCAGTGACCTCTGAAGAGCCCTGCCAAAACTAAGGGTGGGAAAGACAGAGTTTCCTTTTAATGCTGCCTTTTAATGGAAGAATGAACATTCTAAAAAGTCAGTTAAATATAGGGTGTTAGGAAAGAGCTTGCGCGGCTTTCAAGCTCTGGCTGGTGCAGGGAGTGCTTGCTTCAGTTGCAGAGCAGGGAAATACCAGTTATTACTGGCCACTAGGTTTGAGACACCTCGCTGGCTGGGGATTTGTATTATTCACCTTTGCGTCCCTAATGCTTAGAATAGAGAGCTATGTACATATTAAGTGCTCACACTTTCTGCCTAATGTGTGTGTGGCAGCCATGAAAATGTGCTATTCATATCTTCTGCTGCAGGGGCATAACTGACTGGCAGCCTTAAGCTGCTGTCCCCTCTGTGTCCATCACCTCATGTGCACCGAGGCCACACATCCTGCAGGCTGCCCTCAGTCAGCGACCGAGCCCAGCAGGGGCACTAACTCAGGCACATGTTGGTACAATGTGGGATTTCTCCGGCTTGGGGACTTCCCACTGGCCTGGCCAAACCTTTCTTGGAAATGCACTGCCAGCTGCGACTCTCATATCCAGACCTTCTTTCCCACCCCCCTTCCATAGCTGTCAGACCTTCAATCTGGGTCTGAAGCCTCTCCCTTCTCCTACTTCCTTTCCAATAAATCCCTTGCATGTTTATCCCATCTTGGTGTCTTCTCCTTGGCAGACCTAAACTAACACAATATAAAAGAATGAATGAGTCCTTGTAACTGAGAGTAGAGAGTGGTCATGTTGGAAGATATTGAAGAAGGCATTTGATCATTTATTATTATGAGGCTTTTGTTAAAGCCACTTGTAATGTCTGGAACCCTAAAGTCAAAGTGATTCTTTCCAAAGGAAAACTGATCTCATCCTTCCTTCTGTCTTAAGCCCTTCAGTGGCTTCCCACTGCTGTTAAGATAAAGCCGTTACTCTAGTGTGGCCTGCAAGGTCCACTTTGGTCTGGTTCCTGCTTCCTTTTGCAATCTTATCTTGCACGACCCTTTCCCTTGCTCTCACTTTTTGAGCCACACTGTTCCCTTTATTTGCTGTCTTCTCTGCTGCTACAGACCCTTTGTGTGTGTTATTCCTTCTGTTCAGAACTCTTTCTCTTACCTTTTTGCCTAGTGAATTCATACTCATATCTGCACTTAAATATCACCTTGGCTGGGTAGCTTTCTTTGGCCTTCTCCATGAGGTCAGAAGTCCCTATGACCTTTCCCATCTACCAGACTCCTTTATAGCACTGATCACAGTTGCGATTTTTCATTTGCTTGAGATATCTGGTTAATCTCTTTCTCTCCCTCTTTTTTTTTTTTAACGTTTATTTATTGAGACACAGAGAGAGACAGAGCATGAGCATGGGAGGGGCAGAGAGAGGAGGAGACATGGAATACGAAGCAGGCTCCAGGCTCTGAGCTATCAGCACAGAACCCGACACGGGGCTTGAACTCACAAACCACGAGATCATGACCTGAGCCGAAGTCAGACGCTTAACTGACTGAGCCACCCAGGCACCCCCTCCCTCTTTGTTTTATTATTATTTTTAATGGACGGGGTTTTTAATTTTTTTTAAGTTTACTTATTTATTTTAAGAGAGAGAGCATGCGCATGTGCAAGCGAGCACACAAGCAGGGGAGGTGGGGAGGGGCAGAGAGAGGATCCCAATCAGGCTCCACACTGTCAGGAGCCTGATGTGGGGCTGGATCCCATGAATCATGAGACCGTGACCTGAGCCGAAATCAAGAGTTGGATGCTTAACTAACTGAGCGACTGAGGCACCCCTCTCACTTCTTCTTTAGGTTGTAAACTGCATAAGGAAGAGGAACAGGTATGGTTTTGTTCACTATTGTAGCCTAGCATCCAGCACATAGTCTAACACAGAGTAGGTTCTCCATACATATTTGTGCAATGATTTTGCCCAATTATGGGGGGATGAGGGGAACTATTCTGGAACACAGTCTTGAGTCTGGGGTTTGATTTTACCCTAATACATTAGCTGGCTACTATTTGCTAGAAGTGGCAGAAGTCAAGAGACTTCTGGGTCAGAGACAAAGGACTTTATTGCTCATAATACAACAGGTAGCATAAGCATCAGATTTGTTTGCATCAGTTCCCCTTGCCTCCCAAGTCTGACGTGAAGGGCTCAGGTGGATGCTTGCACAGGCCATAGGTCACATTACAGAAGAAGAATGCTGAGCTGCGGGAACCTGCCATGTCATTGTAGGCAGTAAGCAGGCTTGTTCTTTGTCCCAGAGGGAGACGTTACCTCATCCCTTGGGTTTCTTGCTGCAAACACAATCCTGAGAAATGGCCCAAGTAAAGAGCAGCCAAGTCCTTGAAATCTTGGCATACCCAGCAAGCTGGAAAGGACCACAAGAGACCTGTGAAGGAGAGTCTCCCAATATACAGTTCCTCCAAAAACCACTTAAACCTAGGGAAATCCTCAGAAGAGAAATTCATGCTCAAACACACACACACACACACACACACACACACACACACACACACACACACACACACACACACAGTGTGTGTGTGTGTGTGTGTGTGTGTGCGTGCGTGTGTGCGTGTGTGTGTGTGTATAACATATAAAATTCCAAGATGGAAAAGGAATCTGGCTATGGGTTTGCTCACCAGAAGCACAGGTTTGAGAATGGCTAGAAGGACCACATTTCCTTGAGTGGCAGTATCACATGAGGTTTAGGAACATTGACTCTGGAACCAAGACAGCGTGGGTTTGAATTCTTGCTCTGCTATTTTCTCGCTATTATACCCTTGGGCAAGTCATTTAACTTCTCTATGTCTCATTTCACTCATCTGTAAAATGGGGATAATAAAAGTACCTGCCTCATAAGGTTTTTGTGATTAAATAGGTAAAGCACTTAAGGCAGTGCATGACACACAGGAAGCATTCAGTAAACGCACTTCTCGTGCTGGTGTTTATTACTCTAGGCCACCTGACCAATTGTGGAATGATTACTTGCACTTCATCAGGTGGGGATAATGGTCTGCTGACCTGGAAACTCTGCCTCCAATATTTAAGTTATTCTGCTTTGGTGTTAGGACTAACCAAAATGTGAACTAGAGAGGTGGTGTAGGAGGCCAGGCATCCTCTGGTCTTCCTGTGCAAATGCCTTAATCAGAGTCTAGGTTTATAAGTTTAAATGCTTTTAAGCGGTAAGGAGCTAGGGCAGGTCAGACCCTTCATGTCAGTATAGGATACAGATACTGTATGGAAGCACAGAACTACTTTCGAGGTGTTCTCATTGCTGAACTTAACTGCTTCTCTTTTGCAGTGAATGTGGTGGAGGCACTTCAGGAATTCTGGCAGATGAAGCAGTCCCGTGGGGCAGACTTGAAGAACGGGGCTCTGGTGGTTTATGAAATGGTTCCCTCCAACAGCCCTCCTTATGTCTGCTACGTCACTCTGCCCGGGGGAAGTTGCTTTGGGAGCTTCCAGGTAAGAGTTCCAAGGTGGCAGTAGCAAGGAGAAATGCTTAGGTGCTAGTGGTGGTTTTCTCCATCACTTTGGCCATTAAATCTCTGTCAGAAATCACATATTTGAGGACCTGAAACCAATTCTGGGCAGATCATTCTGATCAGCATCTGAGGCTCATTTAACTACAAAAGAACCTCAGTGGCTTTTCTTTCAGCCTACGAAAACTCACACCCACTTTGAATTTGAGCAGTTATGAATGCGCCCTTAGTATATCCAGACTACCAGCACCTGCCCCATGATCTAATCTGTCCAACTTCCTGCCATCTCTTTTTGAGAACACAGAGTAATATTCCTTATCCCCAGTACTTTTTCATAGGCAAATTACTCAAGAAAGCAATGTTTGTGTTCTTTAAGAGGCCAAAGTGGAGGGATTATGTGTGGTGGAAATAGTCTTCATCTAAGAATTAGAAGATCCAAATTCTCATCCCCCCTGCCCGCCCCCCCCCCTTCCCGCCGCCAGCAGGGCAAGTCAGGTAAATTCTCTGGGCCTCAGTTTCCCCATCTATAAGATGAAGGAGATAGGTTAGATTATTTCTAAAGTCTTTTTAGTGCTAGCATTCTACAATTATACAAAAGAGCTGTGATATATGATGATGGAGACTGGTTGTTATTATAGGGCAAGAAGAAATTTGACTAGTGTGAATGTTATCATCAAAGATGGATTTTTTACATCGACCATAGGAAGGTAGCCTTCTGAGATGTCAATATAGAGTCTGAATAGGAATTTAGAGAAGATAATAGACATTTTGTTCTGTTCATAACCCTTAGACAAAGGTATAACCCCTGCTATGTGCCACCTTGAACTTCCCTTATCATGTTACTTATCATGACATATCATAATTATTTCACCTAGTGGATTATGCTCCATGGGGGTAGAGATTATGTCTGTCTTCTTTCTCAGTCAGTTTTAGATCTTTACCACCCACTCAGCACACAGCAAAGAGTAGACATTTAATAAATCTGTGGCATGAAACAGGGCCATTGCAGTTCAGTTCCTGCCTCAAACAGAAAAGTCCTGAAGAGGCTTCATTTCAAATAAGGTGACTAATTTTTTTCCCCTCAGAACCCCAACAATTTCAGAGAAATAAATATATGCTCAGGACGACTAATGTTTCTTCTTTCTCTCCTAGAGAATAAGGTCTCCCCTTCCTTCTCTCACCTCATCTTATTGTTAAATAAAGATTTGATAATTTTATGGTGATGCCCATAATTGGATCATTACAGTCATTTGATTTCTGTTATTTCCCCCCAAAGAACAGTACTATCTATCTTGGCCTGTTTTAGCTTGTGTCTTCTATACCCACTTTGGCAGGTGAAATTTCTCCTGGTGGTTTTCTTCATGGATGGATGATCTTTCAGGAACAATACCATACTATAGAATGAGCAGCAGCCTAGTGAACAGAGAAGTAGGAATGGAGAAATTGCAGAAGACAACTTAGGGTTAATGTACCAAGCTCCATATTCTGTCTCAGAGACACCTGTCAGCTAAAGAAAATCGGGCGTTATTGATATTAAGGTGGTTAAGTAGTGAACATATCCTGGTCTACTTTTAAAAGCCATAACATTACTTTCTTCCTTTCCTCTGACCCTAATCATAAATGACAGGAGACACAGGCCTTTGAGGCAGCCAGTGATGATGAATTATATAAACAAATACTATGGGGATTTGAGGTTGAGTGATTTAAGACTTCTGAAAATCAGCCTTGGGCTATGATACCTATGTTGGAGACAATGTAAAAAACATGAATTAACTTTTAATATTTTCTTGCTTTGTTCAGGTCAGCTTTCCTTCTCCTTGCTACCCCTCTCCTCCTTGCTTCCCCTGGGGGGAAAAAGACTACACATTCCTTCTTCAGACCTTGGGCTCTGCTCAGGGATAGCTCATTGACTCACTGCGTTATTGGGGGAACTGCCTGCTCACAGCCAAAAGTGAAGTCCAAGAATCCTGGATGGGCGCTTCTGGTAGAGACTAGAGGCCTCCTGTGCAGAAGCAACCTAGAGAAGACCTATTCTATGCCTAGCTTATCTAGAGGGATGAAAAGAAATCTTGCCTGTGCATGGAACAGGAGAGCAAGATACAAATTTCTAACAGGGGCCAGATTCTGGCTTTTGAGTAATTAATTCTGTTGACAGTTGAAACGGGCGTATTTTTTATATCCAGTGGTTATATGCTGACTTCAGCAGCCTTCCTCATTCTGCATTCAATTTGGTATGAGCTATAGCCGTCTCCAGTTCCTTAATGACTTCAGGATGTTGAATCAAAATTATGTTTCCAAATGCCTCAACCATTTTACAAAACAAACTTTGGAGGGTGTACTGCACAAACTGATTTTTCCAAAGACTACCCAAGTGTCTTCTATCCTAATGTTTCCCTCCCACTGTTCCTTCCTTTCTCTCTCAGACACACATATATACATATTTTCTCTCTCTCTGTCCTGCCTAGTTTTGCCCCACAAAAGCTGAGGCCCGGCGGAGTGCTGCAAAGATTGCACTGATGAATTCTGTGTTTAATGAACACCCTTCCCGAAGAATCACTGATGAGTTCATTGAGAAGAGTGTCTCTGAGGCCCTGGCATCTTTCAATGTAAGTTACAGGGAGTTCAAAGAAAAGAAAGTGGGGGATGGGAGAACTGGCTGGCTGGGAAGTCTTGTAAATCACTGGGAATCAGAGCGGGATTTCTTTTCTTTCCTGTATAGACAGGAATTTATTTTCTGTCGATCTTGCATATTACATGCTCCCTATGTCTCAATCACTGATTCTATGTGTATGTTTATGTTTTTGTTGGTATTTTGCCTCTTTCATTGTATCTCTTTGGTATCTAGAAACCTTTAATTCAAGATTTGTGGAATTTTAGAGATATTTCAAAATAAAACCTGAGCTTGAATTTTGCTTTTCCCAATTTTGGTTTAAGACCTTACTCCCTTCTTACTTCACTGTTCTTTTTTTTTTTTTTTTTTTTTTTTTTTTTTTTTTTTTTTTTTTTTTTTTTAATTTTTATGACTTTTCTTATTGCCATTCATCTCTGTGACCTCTCCTATTAATAAAGAACACTTTATAATACAGTGTCTTAGTTTTTATTTTTTTCCTTTCCACGAATGGGGTGGGTAATTTTTTTACTCTCTTTCAAAAGAATGTTCCTTCAAATGATGATGATGATGATGATGATAATCACAGCTAATCCTAATTGAGTATTTACTTTGTGTCAGGGACTGTTCCAGGGGATTTATGTGTATTTTATGTCATTTGATCATCACCATAATGCTCTGAGATATAAGAACTATTAGTACCCCTGTTTTACAGATAAGGAAACTAAAAACATAGAAGTGAAATTTTGCCTGAAGGGATGTAGCTAGAAAGTGGTAGAGCCAAGACTGGAACCCAAGTTGACTCAGAATTTTCTAGCTTAGGTGTGCATCCTGGAAATGAACACTGCCTTCTCTCTTCCTTCCCGCAAGTTCACTGATAGGGTGATAGGGTGAAAGTCTGACCAATTTTCTGTTTCTGTTCTCTTTGAAGTTAAGATGTAATTACATATACTAAACCACTTCAGTTATCTGTTTGTGTATTTATTAGTGTTGAACACTTTAGATAATAAGTTGGTTTCCCTCTGTTACCCATCTGATTTCCTCCCATTTCTCTTTGCCCTGGTCAGAAGTATCTACAAGGAATAAAAACAATTTTTTATATTGATCAAAGCCAATTAAATTAAGAAAGTACACTTATCACTCTTAAGTCACCTAATATATTATAAAGTGAAACACTGGTTTGGATTATAGAAAGCAATGCTTATAAGCATGGACTCTGAATTCATCATTTTGAAATTATGGTTCTACTAGCTATGTGGCTTTGAGCAAGTTACTTAATCTAAGTCTCAATTTCCTCATCTGTAACAATTATACCTGTAGGATTACTGGATAGAAGAGAATATATTTAAGCACTTAGCACGTGTTACCTGTTTTGATGCCTTTGGATGCAAGTAATAGAAAAATCTTACTTCAAACTGACTTAAGGGAATACACCAAGAAAGGAAATTTACTCTCTAACATGACAGGAAGTCCAGAAGTAGAGAAGATTTCAAGGCTGGTTGATTCCATGGATCAAGAATGTCATCATCTACTAGCCAAATTCTTTCCATCTCTCCATTCAGCCATCCTCTAGATACTGTCTTTGTCCTTGAGCTGGCTCCCTTCAGATGCAAGGGTGCAAGATGACTACAGAATTTCAGATATTAAATACAGATGTAACCATATTCAAAGACAGAAAGACACCATCTTTCTTTCTCTCTTTCTTTCTTAAGTAGGTAGGCTCCACACCCAATGTGGGGCTTGAACTCAAGACCCTGAGATTGAGTTGCATGCTCTACCAACTGAGCCAGTCAGGTGCCCTGAGACCTTCTTTTAGTACCTCTTTAGTAGTAAGGAATCTTCTCCCAGAAACCCGCCAGTAGACCTCCCTTCTACTTCCTAATGGCCAGAATTCCCACCTTAAAACCAATTACAAGCAAAATGGGTTAGGATTTACCCACTGAAATTAGAGGATAAAATCACTCTTCCCTGAGGGAGATACATGGGGAGATGGTAGGTAGTAGAACAAGATTAAGGTTCTATAGTAAGGAAGAAGGAAACAGATGTCGGCTAAGTCACCAGCAGTGTCTACTACAAAGTGTTTAGGAAACAAATTGTTTTTATTCTCTGCCAATATTTCTATTTGCCTAACCCCTCAAAACTGAGAATTTAATAGATTGCTCATTAATTTCCCAGTGGAATTGCCATACTCCAAATCACATTGATTTCAGGGCACCTGGGTGGCTCAGTCAGTTGGGGGTCTGACTTCGGTTCAGGTCATGATCTCATGGCTTGTGAGTTCGAGCCCTGCCTCGGGCTCTGTGCTGACAGTTCAGAGCCTGGAGCCTGCTTCAGATTCTGTGTCTCCCTCTCTTTCTCTGCCCCTCCGCTGCTCATGCTCTGTCCAAGAGCAAGGCCTGGGATAGATGGGCTCCTCTGCCCGCAGCTTCTTCTGTTGTTGGCTGTACAGAGATAATCATTACTTTCTATGTACTATATCATGGAAAACTCTGGAGGTACTGAATAAGGTACCATATTGAATGATTATAGGCAACCATGAAACAAGTTAATTGCTTCAGGGCCCTAAATGCTAATAGTGAAGGTTACCTTTTTCCTTCCTCTCTGTAGCTTTTCTTTTTTAAATCCAAATTTTGTGTTCTTTGCTTCACCATGAAGATTAACTACTGGTTGGCATGATGCTTCTCATAAGCCACAAAATAATATGGGTTGATCTTGTGTGACTTCTTGTTGATTCTAGCAGAGTGAAAACAAATAAGCCAGCACATATGGTATACTTACTAAGCACATGGAATTATTATAATACATATACAGTACAGCCCCATGGAGAAGTGCCCCATAATAAACTGAATTTGGATATAACTTGACTGGCTCCTCACTTCTACCTAGTCCCCTTTCTCAAAGAGAGCAGAATCTTGGGAGGCGTGGAGCAGGGATGGTGGTGCAGAATGGGCTAGAAAGATCAGGCAACTTGTCAGGAAGTAGAAGGAGAAAGTTGGGTCCCTGTGTTCCCAGAAGTCTCCTGGTTTTATTTTCCTAGATCAGGCTGACAAAAAGGTCACCAAAAAAAAAATAGCAGCTGCCCTTATTTTGGAAGTCCCAGCCAGCCCCAGAGTCTGGAATTATCCCCAGTAATACTAAACCGCCATCAAGTACCACTAAACCAAAGCCAGTACCAGAATGGATTTGGATTGTGTAACTGGATACCAAGTCTAGTATAATAATGTACCACATTTTATATAATTGGAGTTTTAAAACCACATTTATCCCTTTTTAAATAATTTCTTATTTAATTCTCAAAACAATCTTAGGAGATAGATCTGTGATTATTCCCATTTTACAGATGAGGAAACAGGAACAGAGAGGTTAAATGACTTCCCCAAGGCCTCAAGATTAGTAGGAGATCCAGTCTATACCGTATTGTTTGTTTGCATAGGCAATGAATCTTAGTTCTATCCCCACAGGGTCATGTAACCACTGGAACACACAAGCCAAATGTCTAAGAGGCTAAACTGCTACCCAGAATTTACTATGCTTTATGGCTCCTACTGTTTCCCTTGAAAATGCATTTGCCCAATTATCCTCTAGGCTAGTCCAATCCTGTGTGTTGGACTCATTCTGTTATTTTGGCTAAATCGGGGTTCTTCTCTATGTTTCAGTGTTCCCTCTTTGTAAGATAGGGAAAATCAGATTGACCTCTGTCACTTGAGTTAATATGTGTGATGACTTTGGAGTCTTCTAGGTCTATGCTGACCAGCAGAATAGCCACCAGCCACATGTAGCTGTTAAACACCTGATATGTGGCTAGTATGAATCGAGATGTGCTGTAAATGTGGAAGAGACTTCAGATTTTGAAACCCTGGTATAAGAAAAAGAATGTAAAAATTTCATGAAAACTTTGTATGCTAAGTATAGCTAAATTATATTTTGAATATATTAGCTTAAATAAAACATGCTACTTACATTAATTTTACCTGTTTATTTTTACTTTAACGTGGCAACTAGAAAATGTTACATTAGATTGGGGGCTTGCATTATATTTCTACAGGACAGTGCTGCTTGAGGTGATAATCCTGATTGAAAATCTATTTGTCTTTTCCTTTCCTCTGTTACAGGGCAACAGGGAGGAAGCTGACAACCCAAACACAGGGATTGGTGCCTTCCGATTCATGCTGGAATCCAACAAGGGCAAGTCAATGTTGGAGTTCCAGGTACTATGGCTCTCATAACATGGATCAACCTGCATTTATATTATATTATATTATATTATATTATATTATATTATATTAATTATATTTCCTTCTAATCCCTAACTCATTGATCATCAGTTGGAAGGGAAGGGAGAGAAGGTTAGAATATTTTTCAATATATAAATACCTTCCTTCCCTGAAGGGCACATCAGAGTTGGTATAAGAGATGCTTACGTAAATACATTCTGTAAAAGGTCCCCCATGTAATTGTGATGCAAACCCTCAATATAAATCACTGTTCTGGCACTTCATGTCTTCTTCCTCCAGGAACTAATGACAGTTTTTCAGCTGCTGCACTGGAATGGCAGCCTTAAGGCCATGAGGGAGAGACAGTGCTCTCGGCAGGTAAGAGACCCTGTCTGTGAGAGGAGTCTTGCAGAAGGACTATTTCGAGGTGGCTGTTATGTTAGACATAAGCAGGCCTATAGTTACCAGGTTGTGAATCCTGAAAGCCTCAAAGTACCCTCTTCATTCCTAACATTTTTCCTATTTAGATCTTAACTGTAGCTCTTTTGCCTGCCTTGCTTCCCCCACGGAGAAGTTTCCCTTAAGAATCTCCTTAAAGGACTTACGTGCTGACTTCAGTTAGGACTCCAAGGCTAAGAGTTCCTCATCCCATTGGGTCCATTTGGTATGAACCTTGACTTTGTCAGTAACCTTCATTTTCCTTTCCCCTTGCAGGAAGTGTTGGCTCATTATTCACACCGGGCCCTGGATGATGATATTCGCCATCAAATGGCATTGGACTGGGTGAGCCGGGAGCAGAGTGTGCCAGGGGCACTGTCTAGAGAGCTGGCCTCTACTGAGCGGGAGCTGGACGAAGCTCGGCTGGCAGGCAAGGAGCTGCGCTTCCACAAGGAGAAGAAAGATATTCTCCTGCTGGCCGCTGGGCAGTTGGGCAATATGCATTCCTCCAACTGCTAGGCGTCCATGCACATACTCCCCATCCTCTCCAGGCTCTTTTTGATAATGTCTTTTCTAAGACTTAGTATGATTTCTGTACATACTTTCTCAATTTTATACTTTAAAATATAGATATATATATGTATATGTATAAATTCTACACTCAGATCCCAATTTGCTGAGAGATCCCTTTTCTTCTAGTTTTTGGATGTAGTTTCCTTTGAAACATCCCCATTCCACTTTGTAAAAAGAGCAGGCTGTCTTCAGAGCTTTGTTGGTGCTTATACTCCCAGCTCTGTGTAGTCATTTCAATAGCACAAAATGATTGACAAAGTGTTCTTATAATCTAACAGGCAGTTTGAATAAGGTCTGTGTGCCCCACCCTCACCCTCAACCTCATTCCTGCTGCTTTCTCTTGGACTCCAAACAGGGTACGAGTATGAAGGCTTTGGCTTGAGTTTATCTTGAGTTGGGCCTACTTAGTACTGAGCTGTTCCTCCAGTGACTAGACATTTCCTTGCCTAGACTCCCACCAACCGCTTCCCGCCACTCCCTTACTCCTCCTCTGCCTCCAAGTGGTACTTCATTTTGAGACTTCCTTTATTAATTTGGAAGGAAGTAGACAGCTGCTTTCTCATTGTTCAAATTATTCCTGAGAAACTTCCCAGGAAGAAGAGAGGAATTATAAACACAAAACTAGGTGTTTATCACCTAAGTTGCTTCTGGGGCATAGATACCATACTAGCTTCCCGGGTGTGTTCTTGCTCCAGAAGGGATCAGCATTGAAGCCTCTTCCAATATTCCCTCTTCACTCCTCTCTGCTCACCCAGCTTCACTGAGCCCTGTGTTTAAACCTTCCTGTCTGCAGAAATGGGTAGGAGGGAAAACATATTTCCCAACTCTGTCTCTTCCCTTCATGTTGCTCTTTGGAAACATTATTTGTCCTCTTTGGTGAGGGCCGTGTTCCTCTCTCTCCCACAAAGTTGCTGCTGTTTGCTACCTTTGATGTCCATAGATTCACAGTTGTTTTCTCTCTTTTCTTTCCTCTTCTTCCACGTTGGTTATTAGGGCAGGAGTTGATCAAGAAAATTAGTTGCAACTGGCATTATGGCACTTCCTAACTGGAACCCTGGGGAGACTGCGGGAGGGAAAAGAGACTACATGATCAACTGTGTTTTTAAGACTCTCCGCCTCCCACCCCCAATCTCTCTCCTGGGTGAAATAGGGGAGAAATGTCTGGAGTACAGCTAAAGCATTCCTCTTTGGGAGAATTTTTTATAGGTCTCTCAAAGATGTGTTTTCCCTTTGTTTCTATAAACTCCTTTATACTATATTATAGTTCAGTGCACTTTCTAAAATGTGCTTGGGACGTTTCCTGTTTCTGCAAAATTGGGCTTTCCATTCTATGATTATACACTTTGTTTTTAGAAATAGGTTAGGAAATAGGCCACAATTTGCTCTTTTGGATCAGACAGGGATAAGATGAAAATCAGCTTTTTTGCTTTTGAAATCATCTTGGTGATCAGTACATATGGGATCAGTGGTAAGGAATCTAGCAACTGTTTTAGTGCTTGAAAGGGACCTCCTGGAATTCTCCAAGTCCCATCTCTGTATACCACGAAGCACATGTAGGGTAGGAGTAGAGGCTCCTATGTTAAATAACAGGTATGTCTACCCAGTTTTTATTGATATTTATAATCCAGACATCATAAACCCTCATTTCTCCTATGCTCCTTTCTCTGAGAAGTGCGAAGGGGTGTGAGTTGTGGGAAGAACTTCTCCTTTGCACCTCCTGGATTATTTTTCTCAAGTAACAACCAGTTAAGATCCCAAAGAACTGGAGAAAAATTGTTCCCTGATCTGTCCACTTTCATTGTTAAAGATTTTACTTATCTTTTTACTACTTTCTATGTATTTTCTATGTATAATTTTATACAATTAAAAATAGATTTTTGTCTAGTGAGCCAGATTGACTCTTTCTTAAGACATATGTATCAGAGGAGCTCTAAAACGACCCTTTCTTTTATAAACAGACTAAAAGATAATTTTGATTAGTATTTTTTGGGTGGCAGAAATAAGATTGTACTGTTGGGGGAAGGCATTCTGCTTCCCCTTCAGACATTTGAGGAACCTGGATTTTGTCACTGACCCTTTCTTTTCAAGCTCTACCCATTTCCACTAGCGAACTCACTCACCATGGTGACTTCAACTCTATCTTATACACCATTCTCAATCTCTTTCACCCTTTTGAGCTTTTACATCTTTATTTCCATGACATCACCAACTGAATTTATCTTATTTTTAAAAATTTTTAAATGTTTATTTATTTTTGAAAGAGAGAGAGAGAGCAAGCAGGGGAGGGGCAGAGAGAGAGGGAGACACAGAATCCGAAGCAGGCTCCAGGCTCCGAGCTGTCAGCACAGAGCTGCATGTGGAGCTTGAACTCACAAGCAGTGAGATCATGACCTGAGCTGAAGTCGGTCGCTCAACCGACTGAGCCACCCAGGTGCCCCTCACCACCTGAATTTATGACACAAGCTCTCTGAAGTCACATATTCAAAATAAAAGCCATTTCATACATGCTCTTCTTTGACTCCCCAAATCTGTTATTAGGATTATTATCTACCCAGTTACTTAAATTAGAACCTTAGGTCCATTCTTTACCATGATCTAATCAGTCACTTGCTGTTGAGTTTACCTCCTATATAAACTTCCTAATCTGTCTTGTCCATATCCACTGCCTTAGTTCAGTCCTTTATCATCTCTGGGCTGGACCACTGCAATAGCTTCCTTACCAGCCTCTGCCTTCATTCTTAACATCCTCTCAACTACTGTCAGATTTCTTTCTAAAATACTTAGGAGTGCACCACTACCTTGCTTAAACCATCACTTAGCTATCCTTGTCCTTAACAGCATTCCCCGAAGTTTTATATGGGAACCCTTGGTATTACCTGAGATGATTTTAGGTGGTAGAGGGGCAAACATTTTTCATTTTTACTTATTTGATATTTTAATCTGAAACTGTAGTAGAAAAAAATACAGATTTTACATTTATGGCAGTGATATTTAAATTTAGTGCAAATTTGTTTAATTAAAAAGTCAGTCTACATAAGGAGAGACACTAATCAAGAAACAGCATGGGGGCTATTTACAGTTGTGAAAAATCATGAACACTCAAATACTTGAAGTACAGAAATTCTTGCCTACGGGATAAAATTTCAATATCCTTAGCATGGCATACATTTTGGCCCTAACCTGTACTTCTGGCTTTATTTCCTAGCCACACAGCATCAGGCAAACAATTTCTTGCCATTCTGATATTTGTTCATTCAATAAGCATGTATCAAATGTCTACTGTGAGCTAGACACTGGTCTAAACTTTGGGGATATCGTTGTAATTAAGGGTCTCTGCCATAAGGATTACACTCTAATGGGAATTCAGACAATAAACGAGTCAGAAAGTAAACAAGGTAGTAAGCTAGTTCTGTGAAGGACATAAACAAGAGTGAAGGACAGGAAAGTAGAGAAAGTAGTATTTTAGGGAGACCTAAAGGATGAAGTTGAATGAGCCATGTGAAGAGCTGGAATAAGAGCATCAGGAACAGAAAGTTGCAAAAGTCCTGAGGTGGGAAAGAGACAGCACAATTGAGGGAAAACGTAGGGAGGGCTTAATAAGAAGGCAGAATGGTAATGGAGGTCGTTGTAAATAGGCAGAGTAGGCAGTTCAAATTTTATTCCCAAGTGAAAAAGTCAAGGAAGGGTTTTGTTAGGGATATGACCAGCTGATTTTTTTAAGGATCACACTACCTACTGTGGAGAATGGATTAGTGTCTCCTATTCTCAGTACAGCTGCGTGGCCTGGAAAACTACCCAGCCTTAAAGGCCCAGTTCAAATGGAAGCCCTTCTTACTCCCAGTCCTATTAGAAACTTTCTTTGTACTGCCATTACACTTTGTCGTAGCAATTATCACTTTCATAATGTACTTATAAAGTGATTGTTGATAATGAGATTATTTTGCCTTGTATTGCCCACACTTTCTCTAATATTAAAGTCACATAACGGCTTGATTAAAAAATTAATAAATAAATGAATCTGCAGTCCACTATTGTTAAAGGTTTACATCAGGATTCCAGAATTTGGGGGCATTATGGGTTTTGCCTCAACTCCTAGGTTTGTTTGTTTTTTCAACGCCTAGGTTTTTAAACATGAAATACACGCACCATTCCCAAAGAGGTTAAAGCCCCCATTTTGTTTAAAGCCATGATTTTGTTTTGTTTTTTAATCCCCAGAGGTGGTGGGAAGAGTTTGAGAGTTTATCTTAAAAAAATTATAACAGGGGCGCCTGGGTGGCGCAGTTGGTTAAGCGTCCGACTTCAGCCAGGTCGCGATCTCGCGGTCCGTGAGTTCGAGCCCCGCGTCGGGCTCTGGGCTGATGGCTCAGAGCCTGGACCTGTTTCCGATTCTGTGTCTCCCTCTCTCTCTGCCCCTCGCCCGTTCATGCTCTGTCTCTCTCTGTCCCAAAAATAAATAAACGTTGAAAAAAAAATTATAACAACAAAAAAATTTTTATAAAGTTGACACCCGTGTCACCAATGCTAGTTCCCGGACAACTAGGTCTGTTAGTGTTAAGAGAAATTCGGTGCTGCAATACGAGCCAGAAACAGCTTCAGTTCCCAGCATTATGGACTGAACTATTTTTAAAATGTTTCCATCACAGATCCAGCTGCTCTTCAGAGCAGGATACAGGTCTAGAAGTTTTGAGAGAAAAAACGTTCTTCAAACTTCCATTTGGTACGGAGTCCAAGGAGACGGTACACAATCCTCTAATAAAGAAATTCGGCTGTGCTTCGCTGGCAGTAGTATTTCTCCTCGGCTGCCCTACTTAATAGGGCACTGCCTGCAGCCACCTGTTACCTTGTCCCTTACAGTGCCACTCTGTTCAGCTGACCACTTGCTCAAGATGGCTACAGGAACACTTCCGGCATCTTCCCGAACAAGGCCCGCCTCCATTGCGTATTTT